CATTCGCAATAAAATATTGAATGCATGATATTATATTTTATTGTGAGAGGCTTTTTTTAGTTTTAAATTTATATTGTTAATTTAAGATTTACACTGAACCTCTCGATTTCAGCGATCCATTTCCAAATCATTTGATTTATTTTAAAGTGCCCTAAATATCCTTAAAATATAGTACTTAATAATATGCACTACAACAAAAAATAGGTCGACAGCGCATCTTGATAAAGGTGGGCTATTTCACCTTCCATCTTGTGAACCCAACGCTTGTCTGTCCTCCTCTATCATCTAAAAATTAATATCATTTGTAAAATTTCATTGAAACTCAAATATCTATAACGGAAACTATGGGCCTATTGCGTATTAAAACATTAACAATTACACAAGGCATACATCTTACCCTCCAACCAATATAACAGTTAACAAGACAATAAACAAGGCCATACATCACGCAACGAACGTATCTCGAAGTTATTTAATTATCGTAAGGAAAAACTAATCCGTAGAGAGCGAAAATTACGCGCCTCGGCAGGTGATATGCGTGTGCGAAACGGACTATACAGAGTGTTCCTAATGACACGTTGAAAGTATTAAGTACTTAGAAGGTTAAACTATTTAAATATATAGTATTATAATTATTAAGTCCATTTTTGTAATCTAATAGTTGGTAATCTGTGTTGTCTGCCCAAAAAAAAAAAAAAAAAAAAAAAAAAAAAAAAAAAAATACTCCCCCCCCCCCCCCCCCCCCCCCCGGGGGGGGGAAAAAAAACCAACCCCCGGGGGGGGTTAAAAAAAAAAAACACCCAAAAAAAAAAAAAAAAAATTTTTATATTTTTAAAAAAAAAAACCCCCAAAATTCCCCATTTTTTTTTTGGGGGGGGGAAAAATAAAAGTAACAAAAATAAAAATTTTTTGGGGAAATAATCGCATCTAATTTTATTTTATCGTTAGGAAACACCCGCTACGAGGAAATGGTAATGCCCAAATAGCTTCATAATAAGGACATTTCATGTACCAACACGTCACTAAAAACTTTAATCTTAATAGAATATGTATTGATTGACATGGAAAAAATTAGGGATTTTTGGGAAAAATTAAAAAGGTGGAAAAAAAAAAACAAAAAATTATGGTTATGCGCTTCGTATATTTATCTACTTATAATATTAACGTTTTCATAAAAATTTGAGTATTTAGAAAACTTGTTTGAAAATTATTTTATGCTTTGCAGGACCACGGCTGCGTTTATTCAAATAGATAATTCATGTCAACTACTGTCAACTATTAACACACCATTGCTGGTGAACTCTTAAGTATTTTTAGAGAAAATATAAAAGGGTTGATTTAATTCTGATCCTCCTGTATAAGAGCCATACTTCAATGGAGACTAAAGGCGGCAAGACCCTGTCGTGTACGATATTTATGCTCGCAATATTAACTGCGATGAGACAACAATTTATTTGGAAATGTTTCGAGAGGTTCTATGTGAGTTAATAATAATTCACGAATTTATAATATATGAAACAGAAAATGGAAATATTTTAAGGGGAGACATATTAAAGACGAAGGCATCGTGTACGTGTAAAGATAGAAGAGATAAAAACATCTCAGAGGCTTTATATTTACTAGCCGTGTCAGCGACTTCGTCGCGCAGAATAGTTCTTTTGGGCAGCTAAATTTGTTTTTGTGAACCTCCTCTTTATCATTATACATTTTAGCTGTTACCCACGACATCGGTCGCGTCTCATTGCTCGCGATCCGTCGTTCGGGTGCCGTCGTTCTTGCAAGTAACTTAAATACTGTCTATAGTTTACGCAAGGAGTACACATTTAAATAAAACACTATAACGGTTTAACGTAGCAGTCTCCCCGTGACCACGACTGCTGCAAAGCATCCGAAACGTCGGGCCGAAGTTAAAAATCATTTTCAAATAATTTTAACTAATATATCGCGTTTTAAACCGTTAAAGTGTTTTATTTAAATTGCAAGTAACTTGGTAATCTTAAAGATAGACGTAGAGTGTCGGCGGGCGTTTTTAGATTAAGAGGAATCTTTTACATACATATATTTTGGGTGTCTTGAACCGTTTTCTCAGATGAACAATTTCCCCGTTTACACACTTCCCCACTATAAAATAATTGCTGTAGTCAGAGCACATATAGCCTTCCTCGAGAAATAATCTAACCAACAGAACATAATTTATTTAATAAAAACTTTAACGGTTTATAACATGATATATTAGTTAAACTTATTTGAAGTCCAATGATTACCTTTAACAGTAGAGCTAGTTAAACATTACATTAGTTCATTTTTTCATTATGAACTAATAATATGAAATAATACTTCTTAAGTTCTTTTTGTGTATAGTAGGTATTTTCGAAGATGTGTTTTAATCTTAAATTAATATAAGTTTTCGTCACTTACTAGAGCCAAATCCCCTAAATAATAGGTTTATTTATTCCTTCTTCGTCTACAAAATAAACGAAACAATTGAGTTTATAGTAAAGATATAAAACTACATCGGATTAAAATATCATAATATAGATAGATCACTACCAACGGTGCAACGGACGTATCTGTTTTTATACAAAACGGGCTTTGCCCCGGGCATATCAATAATGTTCGAAGTAAAGCCCATCTTTATCTTTAATCGAGCAAAAATGTGTTCAGGATAGACCTCAATAAAACGATTGCTCGTGTCCGAAATCGGAAAGGGTGATCGACGCTCCGATGCGTCCGTCCGCCCGGGGCGAATACAAAAATCATTCATATGGACAAAATAAAATTGCATCCACATCGGATCATCCGCCGAAAATCTATTAGCAATAAATATGAACTTTTCCGATGTAACCGGATTTTAAACGGCAGTAGAACTGTAATAAAGTTAAACTTCATTCTTTTGGGCGTTTCAGTTTTATGTTACTGCAGTTTTTGGGTTACGCAAGCTCGGAGGACGGCAAATAATGTCCATCAAGTTTAGTAATTTTACTATGAGTTTGTAATCTTATTATTAATCTATACGTGTATGATAATCAAAGGACATACAAGTCCAAGTAAGAGTTAAATATTAAGGAAAATAACAATCTTAAATTTATCGAAAAACTTCTTCGTTCATTTATATAGAAAATCATATCTACTTGCGTATTTTAATCAGAGGTATTTTTAACACATTTAAAACAGTCACATCAATTAATATTCTGAATATTGTAATGTTGATTAAATAAGCTCTTAGCTTATTAAGATTAAGTGCTATGACTATGCAGTTAAGAACTACCAAATTTAATTATTGTCAGTATTTAAAAAATCAATAGATTTTTGGGGAATATAGGAGAAATCAAAACACAGTCTGATAATTTTCCCTTTTAATCTTGATATTTTGCTCTACAATACAAGGCACACACACAATTTAAGTAAATTATTAATAATTATAATAGAAATAATAAATAATGCTTGCTTCAACATACGATAACCGAGGGTACATACAAGCCTCCACTGTCTAATTGACAAAGAAAACCCAAATGCCGAGTCGTGGATGCAGAAAAAATCGTTACATTATAACGTGAAACGCGCATTTTTATTTAGAAATTAAACCATATCGGAAACCACATTCATGCTCTGTACAACCACACAGCTTCATTCATCTAAACATTTATTATAACAACTAGATTATCCATTACTTATTACCCATTACAGATAATGTGTATGAAACTGACAAGCCTCTCATCGACACTTGACTTCGACTTTGTCGGTGGCTTTACCCAAGTCAAGACTTATAAAACGATAGCGAAATTCCAAAATTAAACGCCAATCTTCTTCTTTTGTAACTACGTTATCGTTTTCCGTAATTTGAGCATGGGTCCCCGATGGACCTATAGCTTCAAATTCAAGTGATAGCCAAGCGCCTATGTTGTCGAAATGTCTTGTCTATTATAGACTTGTTTCGTAATCTATGTATAAATAACGCTATCGTTTATCATCTATAAACCTAAATACTTAAAAATACTCGTACTGTCGTAGATATGGGATGTTGCGTTATTATACAATATCTAACAAGCGAGTGTTGGAATCAAGAGCCTTACTTTCAGCGAACAAGTGAATGTTTCTCCATTATTCAGTCGCAATACTTATTGTAAAGTCAAAGAACCGTCTGCCGGCTTACTTAAAATAGCTATCGTACATTTCTATATTTTTAAAGATAATCTATCATCAGTTACATCTAATCATTGCACTAAATTTGAATAAATTACACATTTGAAGATCACATGTCCTTATTGAGTTATTCCATAAAATTGATTTTTACAACGATGTCTCAATTTGTATAGTACTTGGCTTCTGATATAAATCGTTACATAATTCAGTGATAATTATAATAAACAGAATTACAAACATCGAAATGACTTAACAAAGCAGTCTTCTATCAATTCCAATAGTTTCAGAAAATAACCAATCAGTTTTATTGAAAGAACAGGCAATCTTACGAAGGAATCTAATGCTGATGTTACTGTAAAATTATACTTACAACGTAAATATGGCATTTCATACAAAGTTTTAAGGTACATTTCAAAAGATTTAATACGTGAATAAATAACGTGAATCGCGATAAAGTCTTACGGCTAACATATAAAGAAATATTTACAAATTTCACTATGGAAGAAATGTTATCGCTTCGTTTTATGCAACATCTACGGCCTTACTTAACAAGTTATTTACACCAATCTCATTACGGAAGTGCAACTTCGCCGAGATCCCGATACATTAAAAACGTTAATCAATAAACAATATTAAGAATAAATTTAATATACATGAACATACGGGCGTCGTCGATCTTAGGAATCTATTTAATCCTATCCGAGGATAGAATCCATTTTGAACCGTACCAATAATAATCTTTGGATTCATTTTTCTCTGAACTCAGGTTTCACGCTGATAATAGGTTTTCTCGTATCGTCGCTATCTTTTTCGCACTCTTGAATGTCGGGGTAGTCGGGGACCCCGGTGCTCGTCAGCTAAGTAGCTGAGCTGAATAGAACTGAGTTCTTGTAATAGCCGGCGCGGTCTGATAGCGGGCTCTTGACGTCACGCTCCATGGCTTGTTGTCTGGATTTGCGCTCCATCTCCAACTCCTGCGCCAATGATTCTGTCAACAAAGATAATAACATTATCACTTATTTTTGTATTTCAAAGATCATTATCATATGTTTATATGTCAAGATGCGACGTCGGTTTTTATAGAAATAACTTAAAATTTAAGTATTATTATATACCGCTTATTCTATATAATTTTAGGCATGCAGCGGACACATTTGTGTGTGACCGCTATATATTTTAACAGTTGTAACCATATGTAACAGCGTTATATTTGAATATTAATAGGCGTATGTATTTCGCAGTGGAAAATGTGATTATCGCTTCGTCAAACGCTGGGTAACATCAAACGGACTCCGCATCTATGGCACTTCCTAATTTAATGTTCCCTTCGGTAAAAACGTACACTTGCTATATTAGAGACGTTTATTAACTCGCATGAAGGGTTGATTCTCATTTGTTATAAGACATCTCAAATGTAATTACTATGAAATGAAATTGTAGTGTTATATTATTGTTGTATTCCATAATATATTATAAGGAGTTCAGCACTATATTATATATCTGACTTGACGCTTGAAGCTATGTAAAATTATTATCTATTGGATATACCTACATTAAATAAAATTCTTTTTATGGTTACTGTCTTATGGTAAATTTGCGTAGATGCGAAGCATTTTAAACTCCTTAAAGCATTTAAGACGGTAAAATTTCTAGATCGCTTGTGTTGAATCGTATACAGATTTAAGTATTCGATACATATGTATACAAAAACTGACTAACAGACGAAATTATTATCCCCTTTCTTTTTAAAATAAGAGAAAATTTCTAATACGATTTCAAGAAAATGGACAAAGTTCGTGAGTAGGTGAGGTAAGGCAATTGTCTCTGAAAACGTCGACGTTTTACGAAATATGCTTATTCAATTTCATGCAACGCTTGCCGCCTCCTGCTATTTACGAGATATAAAAGATATAAACGGAATCGCGTTTTTGCTTACTCCCATGGAAGATTTTTTAACGGAATATTCAATTCCGAGTCGACATTCGATTACGAATAAGTTATTTATGCTTTTTGTGTGAAATAAAATGACTTTCAAAGAACACTGTTTTATACTTGAAGAAGTATTTGAAGAGGTGTTTTTGAGTTTATTGACCAAGATTTATATAAAGATTATATTTTTGTTGTCTTACGATACTTAACATTTTTGTAAAGACGAATAATTAAATCATTATTAGATACTTAGTATTTGTTTGTCTTTAAATATCTAAATTGCATGGAGTAAATCTTTAGATGTTTGTGCGAAAACAATTTGTCTTTTTTATTATTATTCTAAAACCGTCACAGAAATAAGTCTGCCCTTGCTCTCTCTAGCGGAAATTGGATTTCATTCGAATCCTCCGATTGTTATTTCAAACGCGTCAATTTGGTGACGTAAGATTAATTTGTCAGTTGAAAAAACTCAATTATAATCCGATTTGTTCAGACTGGCTTCAGGGCGTCACACTCGCAAGTGTCGCTCGCCGAGGGTTGTCCCAAAACAGAAACCTATTATCCCGGGCGAGATTATTCGCCTAGGGCGTCACAATTAAATATTATACACTTAAAAGCTTCGGCCTTTGCCGTTTCACTTGGCTGCCACCCCTAAATGTCCCATTAGGTCTGTTTGAATACGTAATATTTTTGCATTTGCTGCTCCTAAAATAAAATTGCCGGCTTCTTTGAGTGCTATAATCTATTTGTTCTTTGATATAACTGTTGTTGTTGATATGCTTGAGCGCTTGAATTACGCCTTTAAAAGTTTTCTGTTCTTTAAGTTGAGATATTAGACTATAATTTGGACCACTTGAAAGCTTAAGTGTTAGGGATTCGTTAAAAAAAGGATGCCTATGACTAAGTTCGCTAACTGCCTGGCTGTCAACGCTATATATCCACAACTCTAAAGAGTTAAAATTTTCTCAAACTCTGGACATCAAATTAAATCTCTCTATAGCTTATATCATTATGTTATATCATTGTATGTAAAGTAATTTTAATTCAAATAACACTTTAACGGTTTAAAACGCGATATTTATTTTTAACTATGGCCCGACGTTTCGGATGATTTGCAGCAGCCGTGGTCAGAGGGAGACTGTAGTTAAAAATATTTTTCAAATAAGTTCATATATCGCGTTTTAAATCGTAAAGTGTTTTATTTAAATGTGTACTACTCGCGTAAACTACAGACAGTATTTAAGTAATTCTAACAAAAAAAAATCTAAGTAAACTTTATTTCGGTTGCCGCTATAACCATACATACTTAAAACGAAAAAATGTAGGTACCTAGACAAAGCTACAAAACCATTCTTACTAGAATTCGACTTGCACTAAACCGGTTTATCATTATTTATTTTCTTTGTTCTTTTACGACAAAAACTAAAGATGTAATGCAGTCATTGTAACAATAGCATTAACACTTTGTTGTAAATAAAAAAAGCAGTTCATTCTATCTAGAGAGTTGGTAATTTGAAGAGAAACGAATCGATTCAATAATTAAATAGAGGTCCGAGCAAGAAATAGCGTCTCCAGTGTTTTCCATTCTAAAGATAAAATATTGTTCTTGCTTTGTCCTCACAAAAACACGACTTTTTAAGCTCGATTTGAAAATATTAATGTCATCGATCTACACTTTTGAAGGCTCAAACTTTTTCGATGTTATTCGATATCTTCGTGAAAAAGGTTATAATAATTTTTCACGCGGGTCCATTAATTATATGTTATTAAAAAATAATTATTTTTCTGTAAAAGGGTGCCCTTTTTTAAACTTGAGACGCTTTGAAGTTTTAACAAAGGATTTGTTATTTTTAAAAGGGCTATTAATTTCAACACACGAATTGAGATTGTATTTTCTAAACAATATGATAGTAAAGACTGCCTCGTTGGCATGATAACGCTACGAAAGATAATAAGATCACGGCGAAATGTTAGTTCCCTTAAAATTAGGTCTGGAAGGAGGTGTCAACACATTCGTTAAGGGGACGTTAAGTATTAGATCCCTATTATCATCACTAATTGTTTGGCTGTAGTCGTAAGAACCCACCAACTCGCACTGGAGTAGCGAAGTGCGTCTAAACTCCTAAAATGGCCAGCCTATCAGCATACAGAACTATACTCAGCTGAGAAACATAGTAAAAACTAATTAATGCAAACATTTTGGTTATATTATTTATTGTAGTTGTCTTTGTAGCCAAAGTCCTGGGTTCGTATCCCAGAATCGATTGTTTCGTTTGGGCAGAGCGCAGAAGTCTAATTAACTACGCGAAGGGATCAGCGCAACGCACTATGTCCCACGAGAGGAAACGGCATTTAAATTGTATATAAATAGATATAAAACCGAGAGTTAGCTATGTGAGCCATTCAAATATATCATAATATTTTTCAATGAGCTGCTGGAAGCGAGCCCTTGCGCAGTACATAGGCGTGTCGAATTGAACTGATTGAATTGACTTCCTATTAAGGTATAGATTTTTTTTTCAAAGAATCAATTTCAACGTGACAGTATAAAATCGGTTTCGACTGTTCGAATAAAAAAAACAATTCTTTGAATCAGAAGCGAGATTGTTCGCCTAGAACACGGAGTCTTAGCGATGCAAGAGAGTGCGTTGTACGTATGCATATATTTTCCATTATGAACAAAAAGTTAATATCGTCAAAGGTTTCGGGCGCACCTGTGCGGTACAATTTTATTTCCATTCATTTTACAAGCGCACCTAAAAAGTGGACGGGGAAGTTTCCTCTTTATTAATTTTTCAACTTTGTATTACTTAACATCAGTTGCTTTATTCGTTTCAATGGTGTCTGTAATGTAATATGCGCAGACGATGTTGTTTTGGGGTCTTTATTACTATTCTTGCTAGACAATATTAAATGGATGTTTCTTAATATAGCTAAAGCTGTCTTTAATTAAATATATATCTAAAGAACACTAGAATTTGAAATTGAAAATTTGAGATAGTAAATTAAAAATCGAATTTAAATTGAAAAAGGTTTACGGCCCGGACTTGACCCGGTATACAGCGTTGCGTGCTATTGTTTTAACCAATTGACCTACCATGTCCTATACGTAAATGAAAAAAAATGTACCAATATAGTAAAATATTTTTCTATCGTCGTTTAATTATTATATAAGTATTTTGGTGTTTAACTTCTTTTTATTGGTATATTTACGTCCCATGTCCCACATCGGTTCCATGGGGTTTCACTGCGCTACAAATATAATTGTATCACTTCAGCTGTTAGCAAAGTGCATTGTGATTTTTGCATTTGCGTGTTCGCGTGCATTAGACACTGGGGCAGCATAACACTTAAATTAGTTGCAATTTCTACTCGAAAAGCACTCGACTGTGGAGGGGAAATAATTTGTCGTATGCTGCACGTAAACCTTTCGACTGCATAAGTATGCAAATGTCAAATGGCTGCAGGTCGTGGGCGATACTGACGGAATGACGTCAATATTAGATAATCAATCTGTGTTCATTGGAGGTATTTTGTTAGGTAAATAAATGTGGGTGTTAACGGGATCATAAGATAATACTGAATAAAATAGTAGATATTCACGATATACAGTACATACATAAAAACGACGACGACACGTAGACACGGTAGTTAAGTTAAGAAACAAAACAGATAACTGTGGTGAAGGGTTCGAGTCCTGGCAGGAGTGTTTTTTCCATGAGCCTACACGTTACATTGAGAAATATCAACATAAGTAAGAAATTGCTTCGCTTCGCCATAATTTATTTTTAAGCTTAAAAAATTACAGTTCTATTAATAAATACAATGTTGTCGTTAGAAGCTACATAGAATACAGCTAACTTGCAAAATTCAGTGAAAAACCGACTTGTTTAGTGAAAATGATTTGGTATTTATTATACTTGAAATTACATCAGGCTTTACGAAATACGCTACTAAATCTTTGTATGCTACTATCAATAGATGAAAAATATTTTCTATTCTCCGGTAAAGAATCTATAAAAACCAATATGAACATTCCAGGATTTTTCAATACGCGATTTGAATCAAAACGCCCCAATAAAATTACAAACATTGCGGAAGCGTGTATCGTTCATTTTGTGCTTTTAAAATACTTGACATTCTCAATTCACAATGGTATGTGATATGATGCGTATACATTTTTGATGTCGATTTTTCTTTCAGTGGCACCCTCTTTCGGTTCCTTATCAAAATTGAAATGCTTTTGAATGCTGTTTTTGAGTACATGTTATGTATAAGTATCTTTTAAATAAACCACTTCAACGGTTTAAAACGCGATATGTATTAGTAAAATTTATTTTAACTACGGCCCAACGTTACGGATGCTTTGCAGCAGCCGTGTCCAAATGGTGTCTCCTCATGGCCACGAAACGACGAATATAAAACGCGTCTTAAACCGTTAAAGTTTCTATAAATGTCTACTACTCGCGTAAACTATACAGATATTATATTATAAGTTGGTTTTTAAATCATACTAATATTATTCTATAACTTTGATTGTCTTTAATTGCGATTATTGTACAATGATTAACTTGTAGAATTGCTTTTAGAATGAATATTTGGTCCCCAGATAGCTAAGCTCTAGAGAGCTGTACATTTCGTGGATATTTTTTTCCTATTATTTAACTTACCAGAGTAATTTTGCCAAAAGGCAGCTCCTCCGCTCATGATGTCCACTGGCGGTGGTGGGTAGTTCCACTGGGGCTTGTCTGGAGTCCTTGGTGGTTCTCGTTGGAAAGGCGGTGAGGTGGTCGGCGGTTCGGTACTCGGTGGCTTGCTCTCAGTACCGTTTTCCCTCTCCGGCCGGTTTTCTTGCGACTGCGGTGTCAGATTCTCTGCAAAGTGTACACAAGTTTAGAGATAGTTCTTGAAGGATAGTATTCACAGGTGATCGTACATCTATACTAATATATATATAGCTGAAGAGTTTGTTTGAACGCGCTAATCTCAGGATCTACTGGTTCGAATAGGAAAAATATTTTTGCCTTGATTAAAGCAATTATCAAGGAAGGCTTCTCTATAATAAATCTTTGATTGCCAGTTATAGGCATAATAAACTGGTGGAAAATGTCTTCAACTGGTATAATTTATATTATATAATATACTGGTGAAATGGCAATAAAGTGATTGAATTTGGATTACATAACACAAGTAAAGCTGAAATTCCACAATAACGAGTTCATGAAATTTCAGCTTTACCTGTGTACTTCGTGAGCATTATTTCTTACAACGATATTATTACGATAAATTTATTAAAGGTCAATTCTTCTGCTAAAGACTAACAGAATTATGTAAGTAGAACTCGAATGCGTGTTGAGTACAGACCCTCATTTCAAATGGCCTGCGAAACGATTTCCTGACACGGAGATTAGTACACACCATCACTGGCGTTTACCCCCTTCTTACGTCACGCACTCAACATCAAATCCACATTGCGCAATTATAGTTCCAATCATCTAAACAATACAGTTGAAATTGGTTTGTGTCAAGAGCTAGAAGACTTGATATGCAGATAGTTTGACAGACGGTAAGTTAACATGTCAGTAACAGTCGAAGTTACTTGTTGAATTGACGATTTGACAGGGAAATACTCCTAATATAAGTAACCTTTAGTGGAACGCTGGTTATTTGAAGCTTTAGTTACAGACAGTTTAGTCTACTATGTATTGAATAAATAATATTTTTAACCAGTGTTAATAAACATTTAGAATTACCTCAAATTACTGTTGCACATTTAGTTAAACTATAAACACGAATATATATAATATAAATATGATCTGTGTGAAGAAAAGTGTGTGTGAATGAGACCGTTTCAGTATTTTCTGTGTTTTATCAAAACTCTATCATACTGGACTAACCTGTAACTATTCTTAGTATTTCCGAAGGTGCCCCAGACTGCTTCAAAGCTTCTTCAATCTTCTGTCGTCTCTTCAATTCGAGCTCTAGTTGTTCTTGCATTTGTTGTCGTTGCTTCCGTTCTTTTTTCAACCTCTTCTGATACATAACTGTAAACAAGAGAAAGAAAGGTATAGAATATTTATTCTGACTTTGTTTTAATTTAAATTAAACATAATTAAAAAGAGGGAACTCTAAAATTTATAAGATATTAAAGTTGACAATAATGTCCTATGTTTAAATAAAACACTTTAACGGTTCAAAACGCGATATATTAGTTAAACTTATTTGAAAATGATTTCTAATGACTCCCCGTGATCACGGCTGCTGCAAAGCATTCGAAAAGGAGTTAAAAATTTTAAATAAGTTAACTATATATCGCGTTTTAAACCGTTAAAATGTTTTATATAAATGTGTACTACTCGCGTAAACTATAGACAGTATTTAATGTCCAATGTTACAGTTATATATATAGGATCGTGGATTTGTATCCCACCAGGTTGGGTATTAATAAATACCTACCTTTATATTTGCTTATAATATACATATTAAATATTATCTCTAGTTTGAGTGAGTAGTACACATTCAAATAAAGTTCACGTTTAAATATAACTTTCAGATAGAAAAATGGCTTTTTTATGTTATTATGTTTACTGTGAAGCAATTAGCGCACAGTTAAACTAGAAAGCGGATTTTCTAATTTAGTATTCGCTAGTAATTAATGTTGTTGCTAATGAATCGGTCGAGGTTCACTAGTGATCGACTCCTACGCATCATTTGTCATCTCACGACCCCTGACACGGCGCATCATAATGTACCCATCATAGGGTTTTTATTCTCATACCCTATTTGACGTCTGTCTCGCTAACTTCACTTATTAAGTGCATAATTAAGTTATTTCGTACTCATTTTGATAAATTGAGAAAGGTTTGTTCTTAAACGACACATTATGTTCGAGTTCCTTAGAAAATAGTGGTTAATTATTTAAAGAAATATTGTTTTTTTTTGTTTCATAAGAACTAATCTTTTTTAACGTATTTAATGTATGAATATAAAAAAATAATAAAAATAAATTGTCTGTATTCGCTTAGTAATAATTAAGATTCCTTGGAAAGAAGATCCACTGAAAGAAAACAAGTTTTTTTTATGAGAAAGGCGAAGAAACAAACGGGGTTCAAGATGAAAAATACCCCATAAAAAAAAAAATCTTGCACCCGGTTGGGTCTGGGGTCCAAGATGAATAGCTATACATTGCTATCATTACAACAACATACAGCGAATATACCATAACATAACATATGTTAGACATTAAAGCAAGACGGCTTTATATATAAGAAGTCACATAGTAGTTGTCATTGCACGAAACCTTGTGGAGCTTCCACATATGTAAAGCTCCACATATTGATGAAAAGGTTCGGTCAATTCGAATGTGTTCATCCGAACGTCCAGTCAGTGGAAAATTCAACGGGCCGTCGACTCTGAACACCGATACAGTCTAACACCTCTGAAAAACACTTTCTCACTTCGATGACGTTCATTTTCGGTCCTTTTTATCTCGCCTCATTTGTTTATTAACGCATAAGAAATTAACCATAACCCATTTCTTCCGAAACTACTTCTTTACATAAAAGGTAGAAAACCCGTGTCCCCACAGTGGGCAATGGAGCGAACATTTTACAGGTTAGTTAATCTTGCTAATCAGATTTCTTTACACTGCACGAAACAATTTCCTTTTTCTTGGGATTCAAATCAGGACCTCTCGCGCTTAACGTAATGCTAGATATCACGTTTAACCTTTGGGCTACCGAGCGAAACTAATTCTTAACATAATACACATACATTTTCTTTATAATTTATTCGTTTTGCTAATTGTGTTATTATTATTACGAATAATTTGATATCGTTTATTAAACTCGGCTCGCTTAGAATCGCTTAGAATGCAGCGCTATAATAAAACATACAATATGTAAGTATGTTTTATTATCGACTAGACTTCGCCTAGTAAAAAACTAAGTTTGTCAATATACGTCGAAGCGATCACAGATTAATATCCTTTTCAATATAAAAAGAGCGCTGAAACCATTCATTGAATTCAATAAGGCGGAGTAGCAATATCGGTCTATTGTTTTTATGAATCAATATTTGGTTACGGATCGTCGGCATCGCTTTGTGATCAACCGCTCCTACAAGCTTAAGTTCACGAACAAAGATGAATCGTAATAATTCTTCAATAGATTATTCCTTTCATCGAAGCGGTCTTAAGTTCTTTGTTGTCTATTCTATAATCGAAGTGAGACTCGTCTAATTGAATTAACAATTAAGCCACAAGTAGTAATTTAATCAATTTCAAATTTGGAACAACGATTACGTACGCACGAAACAATTCAACGAACGTTGAAAACCGCCGAAACATTGAAGGAATCCGCTCAAAGGGAAAAAAATGCAATAAAAACTCCATCCCGATACAGAATGGGAGTGTGGTTAAAAAGCAACGAACGAATATGGTTGTGAACATCCGTTGCAGACAAAAGTTCGGCTACTTGACTATGCAAATTATATTTGCGGACCGCGGCGGTTGAGACCGATCTCCGCTATTCCGTTCCTATGTATAGCGGTGTACTCTTTTCATATTTTCATCCGATTTCCTTCCCCTAGTTCATTTTGTTTCGTTTTTAAAAGTCGCGGAACAATGCTTCTTCCGCGGGGCTCATTCGCCTCGGGCGATGCTTGCTTTTTTATATCTATCTCTTTATTCATATCCAGTTTTTCTTTAATACTTTCAACTCATAAATGCTCGAAACGGTCCCCCTGGGTGCCTCGCTCAAATACTATGTAAATGAGTAGGATCCTCGGAGCGAAATTAGAAATATAATAATTTTGTTTTCTTGCCGATCATTTTTTAATATAATCGTTATTACAAGACGTTTTCAAATTATGCCTTCATATAGGTATGTCTGAACATTAACCAAGCTGCTTACGGCAGACATTCAAGAAATTTAATGTTGCACCTCTCTCATAAATGAGATTGAAAGACGTAACCCCACCACACTGCTCTAGAGTGGGTTGGTGGGCTTAAAATACTACCGCAACTTAAAGAGTGGGCCAAGTAAATAATTCATGAACTAAGCACTGGACGAAAGGCAGTCAAGTTACGTGTGCTATAGACATTTTTCACACTAGTACCGTATAATGAAACGTAAATATGAATCTATTTTTATGACAGTCTCCCCTCTCACACCGAAGCCATTTAGATAAGTCTTTTTTATAGTTCTTTATTGAAAATAAATTGCCTAGAATAAAATCAGACACATTCGGTATGGCTTTCCGATAAATGTGTATGAAATAATGTCTGTCAGATAAGATGAGTCACTTATCAGGAGCGTATGTTCACTTCAATAGCCATATTGATTTCGGTGACTTACACATTTTATATGTACTTTCGCTATGAGTATCACCGCTATTTTTGCGTTGATGTGTAAATAAACATACATAAATCCCGTTTTCCCCAGTGGAGCATGGGCGAACATATTTCTGTATACGTTTCACTGATCAGTTTTATTCACGGGCAAGTAGTTGATCTGACTGCTGTGCCTTGCCCGACCGAAACAATATATTGTTTGAGTCCAAAAATAATTTCTTTCACTTCTCTTCTATTTAAATATGTGTTTAATTATTAAATATAATACTTGTCACAATCTCCCCGTGACCAAGGCTGCTGCAAAGATTCAACGTCGGGCCGTAATTTAATTAAATTGGAAATAAGTTAACTAAAACATTTCGCTTTTTAAACCGTTAAAATGTTTTATTTAAATGTGTAGGTACTACACCTGTAAATCACAGACATTGCTTAGATTTTTAATTTAAGATTTTAATTAGCTTATGAGTAAATGTTCTACCGTAAATTCTAGACTCTATGAAGTAAATATACTAGTTTCATTTTAACAAAGCACCAATTACGATCGCCGTACATCAACGGGCTCCCAAAACTGTCCACACCAATACCCGTAAACTATTCGCTGACAAGTGTTTAGCTTTTTATCTGTCTCCTCTGTTTCATTTCGGCGAAATTTATGAGGCGAGTGGCTCGCGCGATAAACATTTTCCTCAGAATCGCGCGGATTATTGTTCTCGTCAGGCGAGTGGGGAATTGAGTTATGTTGTACGAATGACCTTACACTACAACATTTTTCGAGTCGTGCTTGTGACGTGGATTTTACAGTCACATAAATTACGTTTCTCCATCGAAATTTAATATTCCACAACGTTACATTCCATACTTACAATAAAGGTAAGGGAAATTTGTTATGAGAAAGGAGAGAAAATTGCCAGCGTTTTTATCAAACCGATCAAAGGGCCGGTCGGACATTCCGACTTCTTACGACGTTAGTAAAAAATACAATCTCTCTTTATAGTTACCATTCCACTGGTTATTATATCCGTGTCGATACGGTCCGACTTACGGACCGTGAAATGTACGACCCTGGTATTACAGCCCCCGGCTGAACGTTTTAAAAGTACTCCGTTGTGATAATCTGTGTTTTTCGTATCTTCATTTTCAGTTTCATTGACGGTAGTTGAAATTATTCAATAATAAATGCATTAAACGGGAGGTCCTGGTTGAAGTAATTATTTGTTTGGGTGGAGAAGAGCTTAAAAATCAAACTATAATCACTACATAGTATGTAAAAAAGTCACTTATTCTGTCCTTATGTACACTTAAAACTTTAACACTATGCGACGGACTTTTTTCAATAGATAGAGTGTTTCAAGAGGAAGGTTTTTATATACAACGTTCACAGTTGTTCACAGTTTTTTCTGTAGTGTATTTAGTATCAGCGTTGCACCAGAGCAAAGTCGGGGCAGGTCGCTAGTTATCTATAAATAAATCGATCAGTATAAAAAAAGCAAGATCTTACTTAATCATGAATTTGGTTTAATATTTTATAACGAATACGTAAATGTTAAAAATGTGACGGTTAATTAAATGTAACGTTTCAAAGTCTATATGTTTTGTCAAACTTCAAAACACTGTTAAACTCTATGTAAACTACGATAACAGACACACAACTTTGAGATCGTACTTAAAGTACTAATGTAAAAGTCCATAT